GGTGGCGGGGAGAGGGTGGTGGTTTGACACTGCGAGCTGTGCGTACAGTAACTGCTCCACTGACTAATGCTGTAGCTACGTTCCGCAACATCTTGCAGCAAAACCTATCACATTTCGCTCGAATACGTTCCTTTATTGCTAATAAATTGCACGTTACGACAATCCATCAAGACATCTGGGATTCGTTGGGGCGAAGTTGCTCTTGAAAACAACAATTGCCCCACTCAAATGTATTTATGCATTTCCTCTCGTCATACAGCCATGGTTTAAAGTAGCAACGTGCTCACATGGCAGCCGTTCACTCTTGACACCATCAGGCTTTCCTCATTAATAATACCGTTATTTGCAATATAGCGCATCGTTTTGTGTTCTGACCGTTTGAGTCATCCGAACCTCGGCTATCTCGGCTATCATGCGGCTATCAACGATTCATATATGAGAAGTACATAATTGGCAGCTATCACAAGATGCGGGGGCATCCTCGAGTGCTAAGCATTGTCGTGGGCAGGAACCTCAGAGAAAATGAAAATTGCTGACGCACTCTGGAGCCTATACTCCCCCATCTGAAGCTTGGTACCGATTTTAACAGATGGGACACGTTTGAAGCGGTTTTAACTGCATCGCCACCACAATGCCCCTGTATCTTGCGATAGCGCCCATAACTGAATTAGAAGAAGTACTAATTCGCCCACAGAGGGGCTGGCTAAAGTTTTACTCATAATTTAGCCCATCTTCAGATCTGAAGCATATCCCATTATATCTTATCCCTGCAAGCTCAGCGGCATTTTCACAAGCTAATTGAAACCCTCGTAGAGCTTTCGAGCAGTTCTCTTCCGAGACTACGGTGTCTTCTATGAAGCAATCCTATGGACATTTATAAATTGTAGAAAAATGATTTTCAAAACATTCCAAGCTATATATGGGTTAATCCAGTGAATAATGGACGGTAGCAAACCTACCTTAGCTTCAGGATAAAGTGGCGATTCTTCCAACGGCAGCTTCACTGCTCCATGGCATCCAATGTTTGGTAGGAGTCATTAGCAGTGAACCAGGCAAGGCTCAGGGTGTAGGGCCAATTCAGAGGTTGTCTCATTCCTTATTCCCACGGTAAGGCCCCTGAATCACCACTATGATTGCGAGTTAAGGGTACTTTACTACCGCCGATTATGAAATGTTTATACTTCTTCACTTTTCGACATCTGCCGTGATCTGCACCATTTTCTCTTCGCTTTCATCTTTTTTCTTCGAAGGGGCATCTTTATTGCGATGCTGTGGTTCTCGTGCTGACATTTCAACTGTTTTATTACGTCGATAAAGTGATGGTAATTATCCCTGCACTAGCAATCCCATAAAATCGCCAGTACTTCCTCATTTCCATCTGCATTCTGCCGGCAACGATGTGTCGAAGAGATAATAGGATTTTCCAGAGAATGTCCGCACTGGTTGCAAAACGATGCCGCTCAATATGACCGAACAGATGTGCCTTAATGTTGATGTCAATGTGATGTTTTCTGGGCTTCGATCTTGTTGGAGCAAGAACGGTCGCGCTCGCACTTTTCCAAAGATTTTTGCCGACCGCCGCCCCGCTCCCCCACCATCATTTAGAAAGCTAACCCAATCGAAACCCCTCACTCGCTCCTCGATCACCACCCTCACCATCATTGCTGTTTCTACAGTATCCAATTCTGAGACCAGTCGACACACCCAACTCCGTCCAATTTCTTCCTCCACACGACTATCCGGGTGAAAATGTAGTTTGGGGGGGCCACTCATAATATCTAATCGAACTGGCAATATCTAATCGAAGTGGAGCTGCGGTAGGGCGGTCATATCTAATCACCATCCGGAGCACAGTCTCTGAGTGTATGATTAGATAGGGATACCAATCCGTGCCATACAAAATCGGATACCTGGGAGGCCCTTTCTTCGAGGGTTTGTATGGCAGTCGCAAGAAGGTTTGATGAAAGGAAGGAGCCAGCAGGGTAGCAGCCATTTTAGCCCTAGACCAATATGACAGGAGTAAGCGTACTAGTCCAGTGGCCACGGTCTTAGAGAAGATATGATAAGATATAAGTGCCTTCCCGCAACTCTACTTTGATTAGATATGAGTGTCTTTCCGCAGCTTCACTTCGATTAGATAGAGTGCCCCCCCCCGAACTACAATTTTCACCCGACTATCGAAGGGGAATGGGGAGGGGTAAATTGATATCATGAAGCGTCAACTCCACCATTACCAGTTTTTGTCTAGTTTACCGAGTTTCAAGAAACTTTCGCCAATCTCATCTTATCGATAAAGCCGTCAAATTCCATATAAACGATCCCTTTTACGATCCGCTCACACATTTCTCAGAAGTGCGCCTACTTAACCACAAAATGCGACCCGTCTTCCAAAAATTACATGCGACGCCCTACTTCCATGTATAATTAGTAGGGCGACACGGACGGTTTGACCCCACGTGTGAAGGCCGTTCCTTACACCTGAAGTGTAATGCCGGAATGCGATCTTAATAGCTTCAAGTGTTCTTTACTACTTTTTGATTAGCTCTTATGTAAGGTGCTTAACCCTTTGGAGAGAATGGTATTCAGTGGTGGATAACACGTTGACATTTTGTTCTTTGTGCGTTGCTTGACAATTATTGGGGTGTTGAAAATATTTCCAGGCCGCAAGCCAAGTAATGTTCAATAGAGCAAAATTTATGTGAAACTTTAGACTGTGGCATTTAGCTCGCCGGCATATTGATTAGAATTTTGTGTGATTAGGCAGATTAATCACTGACCGGATAATTTTCGTGTTCTTCGGACACACTTCGACAGGCAAAGCAGATAGGTTCGAACAGTTGTTCACCGTCACATGGACCTCTATCAATTTTTTTCTTGTATCCTATAGTGAAGGCGGAAGTGGTGTAGTGACAAGTGGCGCGCTTACCACGCGAGCGGTCCGGGGATCAAATCCTGGGTCGTGAGTCGCCCGGGCCAACCAAGCCTTCCATCCCTCCGGGGTCGGTTAATTGGTACCAGACTTGTCTGGGAGGATAAAAACACTGACTTGTACATCGGCTGGCCCCGCAAGTCATTGTATAGGCCACATCGCATTCAAACGCCACTACGAATGTACAAATGGAAGTAGAATGCGTGCCGCATCCCAAAAAGGGATTGATCAACGGCAAATGCTTTATCCTTTTATCCTTTATCCTTAAATAACTTTCGCAACTGATTTTTCATTCTTGCATTCCCAAAACTCCTATTCTCTTTAATGCTGTATAAAATAAAGGTTATAAACACGGGTCCATATTTAATGGTAAAAACAGCAGGTGTATTTAACTGCATTGCTGAGAGACAAAAATTGGACAGGGATGTTTGCCACTGGCATTTCGTCGCTGTGAAAAGCGACTTTAAAGCACCGCCAACAACCAAAGTAACCCTTCCCTTCAAAAAGCCAGAAAGTGTCGGGTGCAGACCATACACCACAAGTGACGACGGCCTCCAGAAAATGCAAATGTTTTTGCCAATGAAATGATTAACCTGTTAGTTGTATTCGATCAGTTGACAGTAATTACAACTATCATTTACTAAAAATCAGCTATCACTATGAACCACTACTAACCAGATTTACTTTGAGGCCGTCGTCACTTGTGGTGTATGGTCTGCACCGCACAATTTCTGGCTTTTTGAAGGGGAGGGTAGGTGTTAGTCTCACCAAACCACGCTACATGCACATTCACATTGCCGTTTTAGGGTTGATTTATTTATCATAATTTTCGTAAGGGCGGAAGTGGTGTAGTGACAAGTGGCGCGCTTACCACGCGAGCGGTCCGGGGATCAAATCCTGGGTCGTGAGTCGCCCGGGCCAACCAAGCCTTCCATCCCTCCGGGGTCGGTTAATTGGTACCAGACTTGTCTGGGAGGATAAAAACACTGACTTGTACATCGGCTGGCCCCGCAAGTCATTGTATAGGCCACATCGCATTCAAACGCCACTGCGAATGTACAAATGGAAGTAGAATGCGTGCCGCATCCCAAAAAGGGATTGATCAACGGCAAATGCTTTATCCTTTATCCTTTATCCTTTTTTGTAATTCTTGCTATACAAAACTTTGATCCTCAAAAATTATACTTTTGATCTTTTGCCATTCTGTACTAGAATCACTTTGTTAGTTATCTCTTTCCTATGACTTCTAACGTAAACTTCGTGTGGGTTCATATTTATCATTGTCTATTTTTTTGCTCCATTGTGCCATCACAGTTCATTCAATCATGAAGAAATTTCGCATTTTTGGGATGCGTGGCGCATCCCGAAAATGCGCTAATCACCTGTCGGGACGCTCAATCTTCTACCCTTCTACTATGTGTAAAGTCGTGTATTATAATGGACCACGTATGATGTGCAATACAAAAAGAGAACATTTCAGAGCCTCATGGATTGTTCCATCAAACATATTGTATTGATTACAATGGTTGGGTCAGCGTAAGTTTGCATAGCCTTTTCACAAACCTTCCCTTCATGGGCTGAAATCTGTCATTTGCTACTTTAGGGTGCGTCAAATGTCCCACCACCAAAGCAAATCGACTTCTCATCGCAAACAATTCCGGAGCTGATTTACACCCGGGCGAAAAGCGATCGGGTGGCGGCTGTTTTTGACGCTGAAAAAGTCTCATACACGTTTGCAAAGGTGGCCAGTGAGGTGAGAAAAATAACGGCGTTCTCGATGTCTCAATCTAAACGAGAGGATAAATATTACAGGGCTACATTAATTTTTTAGTGGACATTCAGAACAGCGGCATTTGAAACCGCTGGTAGGCCGAACTAGGGCAACGCCCAAGAGAGGGGAGAAACGCCAGGGAGAACGAAACTTGCTGGCATATTGTCCCAGAATCTCCTCCTCCTTGACGCTTGATACATGGCACAACGAGTGGCTCTATCACTTAGATGTCCCCCCAGCGATATGAGCGCTAAAATTGCGTCTTCTTTGACCGCCCTGACTCGCCATCGTTAACCCAATCATCCGACCCTTACTGATGACCATTCGCGACCGCGCAGGATTGCGCAATAGCAGCAGCGTCAGGAGATTTTTCTTCAATAAAATTCGAGTGGAGGGAGATTTCCTCTGCCCAGGGCTGGCGTAGATGAGCGAGGGTATGAAGATTCTTTCCATGGAAGAAAACTTTCCAAATTCCATTTCAAGCCCTGCAGCCACAGTAATACCATTGTCCCGAGTGAGAGCTTTGTCAGCCACCGGTGGCTGACATTGTCACGAATGGGTTAAGGCGAATTTAGAATCTCGGCGTTTTCGAAGACTTCTCTTGCTTTCCTTCCCTCTTTTAGGCCGGTCTGCAGCTAAGCTCGAAGCACCATTTTAATTCCGGGGTTTGCCTCAAAGTGATAGGGAAGAACTTGGATGCAAATGCTCTAGTTCTGCAGGTTGTTGTGCAAGCTCCAAATAACCCTCGAATGCGACTAACTAAACCTCCGGATAGAAGTCGTGTACGCAGCGTATCCCACAAGAAAAATCGATCATATTTCTACCACGTTTTCGCTTTTCTTCCAGCCTTTCAACAGTTTCACAGAAAAAGTGGCCGAGAAGTGCTTGTGTTAAGCTACGCCACAAAGCACCTGACCATTTTTTCAAGTTTGACGAATGTGCGATTCACCGGAAATCCCGTGCTATTTTGCTTTATTTAATCAATCGATGTGCCAAAGAAAACATTCAACGGGATATGGGTACCTTTACCTAGAAACTAATTAAGTGTAGATCAAATAAATACAATTAGTAGTTCACTTTCAATGATTCTCTTATGTTCTTCAATAATTTTTCGACCGTTAGTTCAGATGGAGATGCTCGCGCTGGACTTCTCTCGACTGGATTGACCCCTGGCGACCGTATCCTCATCTGTGGAAGCAATCATTCGCAGGTTAGACTAAATAATTCCCACATAGTTTTTTTTTGACTTGTTTTTGTTTGTTAATTGCTGATTTTGCCGCTTGCGAATGTTTCACAAGAATGCTGGGTTGTGAACAAAACTTTCGATCCCAGGCGGGTCAACGCGTCGCCGTTGGACAAAGTCCAACGCATGGCTCTCTAGCGTGTGAGAGTAATGCCGAGAGTGAACGTACGCACGGAGACACAGACGGCTCGCGCAAGGCGAGTGCGAATGCCGGCGCGGAGAGCGGTCAACGTCGGTCCAACGTCGGTCCAATGTCGGTCCAACGTAACGGTTGACCCTGGCTAGAACCCCGCACCTCTCGCTTTCCGGGCAAGTGCGCTACCAGTATAGCGAAATGCCGATATCGGCTAACCGGCTCAACACGTATACGTGTGAGTGCTGAAAGCTATGGTACGTATACCATGAAAAGCTGAGTTGGATGAAATGGTGCCCCGGTAGCGTAACTGGTAGCGCACTTGCCCGGAAAGCGAGAGGTGCGGGTTCTAGTCCCGCCTGGGGCGAAAGTTTTGTTCACAACCCAGCATTCTTGTGAAACATTCCGTATATTTCTCCTTGAACGACATAGTCGCAAAAGACATGATGAATATAAGCACACTGAAGACCTCCTCCACCTTTTTCCACCAGGCTCGCCAAAGTCAAAAACCGCCACGGAGGTTTCTGTCATTCTAGGAGGCCCTCACAATTGGATATTCGTTTGCAGACAAAGCTATGAAAGCACCCTCCCTTCAAATACGCAGAAAGGTCGGGTACAGACCGATGCACGCACAAAGTGGACACGGCCGTCCAATAAAAAAATGCCTGAACGCTTTCGCCAATGAAATCATTATGCCTTTGGCAGTTGTACTATTCGATTGCACTAAAATTATAACTATCAATTTACCAGAAATCAGCCATCGCTATGAACAACTTCTAACCATTTAACTTGGAGCCGTCGTCAGTTGTGGTGTTTGGTCTGCACCCGACACTTCTCGCTTTTTGAAAGAGAGGTTAAATCCACGGTTATATGCAAAGTCAAACTTTTACAATTTCCCAAAAATCAACGATTCTAGTTTGATTACTTTAGAGAACTCTTCTCTGATTGGTCATAATTTTTTTTTTTTTTTTTTTTTTTTTTTTTTTTTTTTTTTTTTTTTTTTTTTTTTTTTTTTTTTTTTTTTTTTTTTTTTTTTTTTTTTTTTTTTTTTTTTTTTTTTTTTTTTTTTTTTTTTTTTTTTTTTTTTGCCGCCTGTAGAGCTGGCCTCGTGTTTTCATTGGTGAATCCGAATTTTCATGACTCGGATAGCTTTTATCGAGCACTGAAGGTGGTAAGTGAAGTCACAGATTGATTGTCTTCCAAATACTAAACAATAACAATTTGATAGCAATATGAATTTGAATTTACCTCAGGGATTAAACATAATAATAGATAGATCAAAATTTCGACTTGGCGAACAGCAAGTGGTTTTGCTGTTCCAATCGTTCGAGCTATCAATCCTGAGACATGCTGCAGCATCATTTATCATTCTAGATTGTATGATAGAATTGATAATTTCCATGGCATTAATAATCCTGGCTGGTGTTTCGCCTGCTGACACAAAAGTATCTGTAGTTCATGTTGGATGGCAGAGATTGTGAAGAGTTCGCTCTGGTCAAGTGGACTTCAAGTCACGGCGGCGGCCGACGGCCGCGCTATGTGCATAATTCTGGTTTGAGTGTTGTAAACACAATAACATCCCTCGCCTTCAAATGACCAGAAATTGTGCAATTGCAGAAATTGACGTGGCATTGGCACACGTGGCTAAATTCTCGATGAAAAGGTGACATCACGTGTGCTCAAAGATGTTCTTGAATCGATGCCACGTTAATGCCACGTCAATTTCTGCAATTGCACAATTTCTGGTCATTTGAAGGCGAGGGTATTTGTATTCATGCAGAGTCAAGGAGGGCAGTTCTGCGACACGTGCAGCTTTGCATGAGACCTTATGATACCCTCATTAAGGTATTTGGCCTAGGGAGTAAGTGAGCTTCTTCTTGAATGCGAAATACAACACTTCTCCCCCTGGGTTAGATCACTTCTGGTTGGCAATATGCATGAACCCTAACCGACCGGTCACGCTGTCGGGAGCCAAGGCACGCTTGCCCTCTTCGTCCACCGATCCTGTGGCCACAGGCGGCAAGTGTTGATATCGGCTATTTTTGTGGCTTCAGTGAAACTTGTCCATACGCCCCTCCTCCATCTCAAGGTGATACAGCTGGAAAGAAGGCCTTCTTCGGGACATAAACGGGTTCCTTGGGCTCATTTTTTTCTTTTCTAGACCACCCGTGACTTCCAGCCTCGTTATTGAGCAGTATAACACACCCATTTTATCCCAGGGAATTGCCCTTAAGCCTCGCGTGATTGTGCAGCTCTGGTGACCTGACCTAAATAGAGAACTAGACGTCGTCCCCTTTCCTTCTAGGGTTGCAACGTCAGGAAACCGATCATGTCAATCACGGTCAACAGTCCTTGGACCACATTTTTCGAAAAAGGCAGTCATATTGTTGTGATTCAAGGAATGGGGGCATATTCGCGGAGGTTATGAAACGAGGTACAATCCGGAAATCTGGGGATTTTTCTGCAAAATTTGGAGAACTCGTGGGAACTTCGCTGTCCTCTCTCTCCCCTCTACAGACACGCTAAAACCACACCTCTTTTTCGTAATACCCCCTCGCCCCACCCTCGACGCACTTTTGGAGCTCTGTGTGTGGAGTCTCGAAGTGTGCCAAAAAGAACGAGATCCAGCGGTGCATAAGCACACTAAATAGCTGAGGGGTGTTGTGTGTTGGGGACCACTCTAATAGGAAGACTCATCGGATTTCATAATTTTTCAAAAATGACAGTCAACTCTGGACCTTACCATCCTCTCATCTTTTGTTAGTGCTCTGTACTGACCAGTAGCTGGAAGATAAAAGAGTGAGGAACAATCAATCCTCTGCAGGATGCGCCACGCGCTTTGCGTTCAACAGAGTCGTGGTGGCTTTTCACAGTTCTGTCTCTACAATGACTTGCGGGGCCAGCCGATGTACAAGTCAGTGTTTTTATCCTCCCAGACAAGTCTGGTACCAATTAACCGACCCCGGAGGGATGGAAGGCTTGGTTGGCCCGGGCGACTCACGACCCAGGATTTGATCCCGGACCGCTCGCGTGGTTCGCATGCCACTTGGTACTAGCGAAAACTGCTCAATGTCAGTTATATTACAAATGAGTTGAAGGCTGTTGTTTGCTGGTACCCGTGGCTGGTGACGGTCGTCACCATCCACGGCTACAATTTCTACAAGCGTGACTGGAGTAGTTGAGTCATATCACTTCATTTATTCCTAAAAGTTTGATTTATTATATTTTATTTGTTCACTTTTTCATCTGAAATGATCAATTACAAAAAACGCTTCAATATGCTGCAAAAGATCACGTTCCTTCAGAACCTTCGAATTTTCAATTCAGGGCGATTTCAAAGCAGTGATCTGCTTCCGTGCAAATGAGGCTCAGGATTATCTTTATTCGCTTCTCAAGAATATTTGTCCGGAAGTGACGAGGTCTCACAAAGGTAACTCACTGTCCATTTCACGTTGCGTGTCTATTTGGTCTTCCGTTGCGAACTCGGCGAACTCTGCTACGAATGTGATCTCATTAGTGCTACAGTTGGCTGAATACCTTCAGAGAGTGATCAGTAGATGAACACAGTGTTTAGGTCAGCTGAAGAAGTGCAATCTTGCCGAACCTCACTCATGTCATCTTGCTGAAGAGGATCACCGCCACAGGTCAGTACTGTATTGGCGTTAGTGCAAGGATAATTCAAAGCAACACCGCGAGATCCAATTTGTGGAGTCACAGCGGTCGCAGTGGATTGTGGACGCCCAGTTGACTATAAATGAAAAAAGAAGCGAGGAAACCGTTT